GTGGTAACTTCGATAACGGTAACAAAAGCCAACGCAAATTAAAGTGTTCTCAAGGGTACTGGGTTCGAATTCTGCTCAGGGTTTCGGCTATCCTGACTGGTTTCTTCGCTGTTCTATTCACCAGCCCTTCAAAGGCGAATATATGCATTGTACCTCAAAACAGATCTCACCAATATCCTGCCTGATCCCTTCCGATTTATCTCATATCATCATCTCAGCTCGCTTCAACCCTAGAGCTGACACAACGTCGCTGAAGAACTTCGGTGAGTTTCCGGGGACTAACCCAAGTGTCAGTGTAGGGCCTATACAAACTAGCTCAGAAAATGCACGACAGAGGGGCAGGAACTGGATCCGAAGCCAGAGTTAAGCTACTTCGAGCCGGCCCCCACGCATTCAACAACAAAATCTGGCCAACTTATCCTTCCTGGGAAGCTCTTCACAGTAAATCTACAGCTGTCAACAGTGCACTGTCACAACCAATGAGTTGTGTTGCCGACGCCATCAAAGCAACAGCACACTTGGAATACCCTCCAGCTATCGGCGTGCTCACTGATGTCGGTAAAACAAATGTTGAGACGTTTTCCAAGTCCCAAGTTGCTACTACATGCTTCACATGAAGTCCTCCCAATTTAAACTCATCAAGGTTAGAAATCCTTGTTGTGGGAGACTCTAAATCAGTTTTCCAAATTATGCAGTTCACCATTAAAATCATCATCATCATCATCATCATCAGTAATCTGTCAGACGACAGGTCCAATCTCTTCCAAAACAATTCCTCCACTTAATGCGATCTAGAGCTTTCTCCTTCAAATGACAGTATCCTCTTCTCTCCCCAAGGTCATCCAGCATCTTCTTACGTCTTCTTCCTCGTCTTCTTGTCACTTCTATCCGCCCCGCTATCTTTCCTTCAATAACTTCTTTTAGAAGGCAGTTTCTGCGTAAAACATGACCAATCCAATTAGCCTTCCGTTTTCTTATTTCATGTAGGATATTCCTCTGCTCACTGACTCTAATTAACACTTCTTCATTTCTCACATAATCGGTCCAACTGATCTTCTCCATTCTTCTCCAACACCACATTTCGAAACTTTCCAGATGTTTCTGATCTACTGCCCTAAGTGTCCATGTTTCAGCCCCATACAGAGCTATGCTCCAAATGTAGCATTTCACTAGTTTCTTCCTCAAATTTAAGTCCAATTTGCTGGTAAAAAGATTCTTCTTCTTGCTAAATGCAGCTTTTGCCATGGCAATCCTGGATTTAATTTCACTAGTACACCTTCCATCATCTGTTAACAAGCTACCCAAATATTTAAAACATTTCACATTCTCCAGTTGTTTTTGGTCTATCTTTATTGTGACTGGGGTTGGTTGTCTCGAAATTTTCATTACTTTTGTTTTCTCCACATTCATTTCCATGCCATAGCACCTTCCAATTTCAATTAGTCTATCAATCATGCCCTGTAGCACAGTTTCTTCCTTAGCCATTAACACAAGGTCATCTACATATTTCACAGTTTGAATAATTTGCCCTCCTACTTTGAAGTCTCCGAGCCCATCCAGAGCTTCCTTGGTAAGGCATTCGCTGTACAAGTTGAACAGAATTGGTGATAAACAGCATCCTTGTCGAACTCCTCTTCCAATCTACACACTTCTAGAACATCAAAATTTCGTGCCCCATGTATCGCTCCTGGTCCCCCCTACAGTGTCTCGGGTATCCTGGCACGAACTGATTTATTCCCTGGACACCCAGACTAATGAACACTGCTCAGGCCCTATAAAACACACACACGAAAGTGAAGTACCAAGTTGTGATAGGCCTGGCATGGCCTCTGATTTTCTTCCTCTCCCTAGATTCTGTGCACACCAGGGGTGGGAAAAGTTCTTAACAGAAAGGGCCAAACTAAGGGTCACAAGTATTTTGACGGGCCGAAATAGATTAATGCAATATTTTTAAAGTAGTTTCAATAAACAAAAAGACGCGATATGCACAATGAAACCCATTTACACGCCAGATCGGGGTCACAGACGGTGCTGCTTGCAGCTGCAGATAGGATTTTAGATTTTAATTTTAGAAAATGTTGATATAAGTTTGAAATAATATTATAAGTAACTGTCACAATACCTCAGCAGCCAGAACACGGCCCCGGGTAGCAGTTTACGCACCCTGATATGGACAAAGGATGTCGGCAACATTTTTTTAACCAAATGTTGATGACGAATGTAGTTTACACAATGAATGATAGATTGCAGGCGCATGAAGTCCACTGTTTGTGAAACGTCATTACGTGGGGAGCCCGCGAGGCCGGACACGGACAGCCAGGGACTTCCCCTTCCAGTGTCTGCGTATCATTAGGCAGGAACAAGCAGCCAGCCATATTTGGTTTTAATGGCACCCTGTCACAGTTGCGGACGCGCAGGCCATGCGGACACGAAAGCACACCCTAAATTCTCTGTAAAGTCATTCGGAAATCGATACCCCACCGGGGTTTGTAACACAGCCTTCAACCCCTTTAATACAACTCTACCGGGATATTCAATTTAAAGAGAGGGTGGTTCCTCGTTACACCCTTTTTTATAGCAGTCGTTAATTCTGCCATTCTACAAAATCGTTTCGCGTTTAAAATGTTAGCTGAAGTCTTGAAAGGAAAATAAATTACACTCTTCTGAGAGGTGACGCCGTGAAGTTTGGTAACGATACGTACCAACGTAGTTGAACATACTGTCGCAATGTCCAAGGTGGAACTCTCTTCTAACCTGACAACGGAGTCATCAAGATCCTCCGAAACATATCTTTCAAACTACATGGCGTTATCGCAAGCCTGCCTGCCTCTTGCCCTACGCTGCAGCTAACGAGATGGCCCAAGGGAACATCTGTATGCAATTCAGTCAGTCGGCTCCGATCATGCAGCGGTTGGCAAATCCTGTCCTTAAGACGCTAAACATTACGAGTGGCGAAATTGAAAATGATGAGATAGACAGGGCATGTAGCACACATGGGAGAACAGGGAAGTGCATACAACGTGTCTGTTGAAAGATCTGAAGGAAACAAACCGCTAAGCATAGATACAAAGATAATATTAAAATGGATCTTAAATAAATAGGCTGGAAGAGCGCGGAATGAATTCATCTGACGCAGGACAGGTACGACATATGGGCTCTTGTGAACACGATAATGAACTTTTCGGTTTCATTAAATGCTGGGGGCTTCTTGTTGAAGGACTCAGCTCCTAGAGGGTATGTGTAGCACTGCCCAAGTCTAGATGCAATAACATGAGGAGGCAGCAGGACGAACAGCGGAGAGGAAATGAAAATATACGGCGTCACAACGGGGACGCAGCTGTCTGAGGGGCCGCAACCCCCGGAGTGGCAGCTGGAACAGACTGTGCAACCTGCGGCCGATTGATGAGCTCCACGGATTCACAACCTGGGGTCAGAAGTCCAGAGGGACACAAAGGTTCCCCGAATTTTGAAATAAACACTAAACGAGACATACTTTGCGATAACTAACTAAGGAATTCCATGGACCACAGTCCGTCTGAGAAGCTAGCAGTTGTTCAGCTGCTCAGTACATTTCCCCACATTCATACTCGTGTTCATAGGAGCTGGACACTGGGCTCCATGCTGAGCGAAGTGGAGTCCATGTGAGACTTGAGTTTCTCACCGCAGAAAGAACTGACGCCGTCTAGTCAGGTAAAGACGTACCGCCTCCAACTTCAGAGTAAAAGAATAAGCGATGCAAATTGTTGTGGCTTCCTGCTTGCTTTGCTTACTCTTCTACCCTGAAGATGGAGGCAGCACGTTTCTCCGAAACGTCAGTAAACCTCTATCAAACTACACGGCGTTACACGCCATACGCTAGTACTCTTCCAATACAGCCAATCCGAGTCCACCCACAACACTTATTTGAAGGGGTACGACCTTTCTGGGGGGCACGCGGTAGCGTAGTTGGTTGAGGCCCTATGCTATAAGCCGTGGGCCGCGCCACAGCTCAAGCGTTTAGTCGCTGGCTTCCCACCGCGGCGGCCCGGGTTCGATCCCGGGTCTTGTCAAGTGGGATTTGTGGTGGATAAAGTGGCATTGGGGCAGGTTTTCTCCGAGTACTTCGGTTTCCCTTGCCAATATTCATTCCACCATCTGCTCCACAATCACCCTCAACTATCATCTGGGGCTGGTACAATAGGCCAGAAGTGGCCGCAGTAGAAGGGACTTAGTCCCACCCCGCTAGCAATAAAAAAAATTAAAAATGCTATAAGCCGGAAGGTCGCGGGTTCGATTACCGATGAGGTCAATGGATGTTTCAATTGACCCAACCCTTCCAGCCGCACTATGGCCTTGGGGTCGACTTGGGGTCTAACAGAAATGAGTACCAGGAAATTTCCTGGGGTTAAAGGGCGGCTGGCGCGTAAGGCGGACAACCTCACCGCCATCTGTGAGCGGATTGCCTAGAACGTCTCACAACCCTATGAGCGGACAACTTTACCTTTTGCTACATTGCTTCTCCATAGCGCCCAAACCAGCTCTGGCACCCGTTCAGTCTACTATCCAACTGACTTTTCCCATTGAGTGAAGCGGCCGGAGCGTGAATATGACCTCCTACTCCAATACAGTGCCGATTTACGAATGTATGGAGCTGCATCTCCAGTCCCCATACGTCTTCATGCGGTGGGGCAGCACAATGCACAGGGACAACTGTACTTGTAAATGTGACTCCCATGAAGGGGCCACTGTATCCTTACCCTGCCTTCCCTCCATGTTCCGCTGTATCACCATGACCAATCATTTCTCCTGTTCGTTCTAGAACTGACATGTTTTACACTGTTACCCTCATTCCTATTGGTCGGCTCAGAGCCACGGCCCCCTCCCTACATGCGTACTACCTTTACTCTCCTCCCCTGAAGAATGAGGCAGCAGCAGGTGTCACATCCCAGAAGACTACGCGCAACATATCCGAGTGAGCACATGAGGCTCTAGTGTGTGAGGTGTGCATGTGGACGACTCACCGATCAGCAGGAGCGAGACCGTGAGGTGCTCCCGTCCACTCGCCTTCATGGCCCCCAGCACGGTGCCCACGACCGCGCAGCAGATGCCGACGACGGCGATCACGACGATGAACCAACGGATGGAGACCGCCTGCGTCACCACTACACCACAGCAGGACTTGGGCTCCTCCTCAGGCGTGTAGTGCTGCCCGCGCGGGGACCTCCGAGACCTGGAACAGAGTCGAGTCACTGGCTTAGCTCAGGGCGCTGTTTCGGCTGCACCGGCTCACTCAGNTCTGTAGAGTTCGGTTCGTAACAGTCATTTTGCAGAGCGAAGCTTTCATTGTTTCGCGCGCCACCCTTGTGCCCACCCCATGTACGTTTCTGCACGGCATTGGCCAGCCCCATGCGTGGGGCCTATAACTGTTGCGTCTCCTCGTCACGTTCGCCCAGCCAATGGCAGCTCTGCGCTCCGTCTGCCTTGAGTTTCAGGTCTCAGCGCTCCGAGGCACAACGCGGGTTCTCACATACTGCAGTGAGTCATTCTATTCCTGAATTTATAGCCCTGTAGATGCTGCCCGTATCAGAGCATTGCGTCGTCTTGTCTCGATTCATTTGTATTTGGAAAAGAAATGGGCAGTGACATCTGTTGAACAGTTTATGCCACTTGCGGGTTTCGGCGATGCAGATTTGGTTGCCATGGAAATGTGAGCCCATAAACACGGAAACAAAACACAATCGGGTTAGTGAATACACAGCAAAGAAACGCCGAAACTATCCTTTGGTATCTGCACGTGGCTTCTTATGAGGCCACATCTCATATGTAAATGATGGACTTTATTGTGTGGACATAATCCGACAACGCAAGGCACACGCGTGGATAGATTTACAACTATCAAACATGGCGTAATGTTTGCTGTATGTCGCTTCTTCACGGCCAGTAAAAGGTAAAAAAAAAGAAAAGAAAATGTAAAAGTTTCCCTGTAACAGGCCGTGGAGGCCCATAGGATTGTGAGACGTCGAGGCTTCCACAATTTCTACACAGTCGGCTCACAGATGGCGGCAAGGTTGTCAGCCTTAAGCGCTGGCCGCCCTTTACCCCCAGGAATATTCCTGGTACTCATTTCTGTTAGAGGCTGAGTATACCCCAGGGCCATAGTGCGGCTGGAAGGATTAGGTAAATTGAAAAAATCCACCTCATCGGGATTTGATTCCACAACCTTCCATCTACAGTGCCTCAACCAACTATGCTACCACGTAACCTCTTGCCTTATTATTATTATTATTATTATTATTATTATTATTATTATTATTATTATTGATTAATGGCGCCTGAGAACACGGTGCTTAAGCCCATTTGTATTCTCCGCGGGTCACTTCACAACACTGTGGGCAGTTATAGTTCACGTAGCATCGAACAGTATGATAATAGGAAACACTGAACAGGCAAGGATTTGGAAGGAAGCGTCCGTGGTCTGATTTGATGTAGCCTTCTATTCCGACATCTTCCAGGAGACACTCAGTAAAACAGCATTGTTTATTTCGCTTTGGGAGAGACAGAAGAGACGAGAGCATGCGTTTCGGTCAAGAAACCTTATGGGAGTTCAAATCGTTGATAATCTAGTAGTAGTTGACAGGATATTATTAAAAGATACATCAAACGGACAGGAGTTATAAGATGTGGAATGGATTCATCTGGCTCAGGACCAGGCTCTCTGTGAGCAATGAACATTTGCCTTCCGCAGAAGGAAGATATGTAGAACAGTAAGCGACTGTCAGCTTTTCAGGAAGGAGTTTGTTAATTTGTGGGAACCTGTGGGAAACACTGGACGCAAAGCACCAGCGTATTGCAGAACTGACTGTTGTGTTGCCAAGGCAACAGGAACGGAGAGATATGGCGCTGATCAGCTGGAGCTCGAAACACCTGTCGGTGCCACTGCACTCCTCTTCTGTAGGAGGCACAAGGCTTCAAAATAAATCTCACTTCCTGCTTTCCGTTCTCTTCTTTTTATTCCGGAAGCTGAGTGCAGTCGAACAGCTGGTGACGGCAGGCGTGACGTCACTGAACATCCGGTTTGTTAACCTGCTGTGTGTGTGTCCTTGCCCTGATTGGTCCACACTCTGATGCCCCAGCTGAAGTGTGGACTTCAGCCTGAAACGTCAACTTGTGTGCACGGTTTATACGTATTTCAGCTCGGTGAATGAGCACAGGTGGACACGGAGGAAATGCCCACGTCCCGCGCTTTTCATCACGACTTTGGGTCTAATAGCAGGCTCAAATAGACGGATACTGATGCACTTCAGACATCCGAACATCATGCATCCATCAATACAGTCGATTTCTGGTAAATTTATCTCGATCGATAACGCTCTACATTTGTATTCGGAGGTGCTGGGTTCGAGTCTCGGCCTGGACATGGCTATCCTGACTCTGGCTTCTCCTAGTTTTTCTCAATCGCTCCAGTAAAAAAAAGGACAGTATCTGAAATCAAAACCCACCGTTCCCTTTCAAATCGCTTACCCTTCATTATCGATGTACATCCACTCATCCATACATGTGTGAATATATAAATCATTCTTGCTTTCACTAACGCAAAACGCAACAACAGTAATTTCTTTTTGTGTGAAGACTGATCAAAACTTACGCCACTCAAAATTCCCCATAGGTGCCATGTGACCATGTATTGGGCCCTTATCTGGCCAAACACACAATGCTGGTCTACAAAACATGCAATCTTAAATGCTAGAACATTGTAATCAGGCCCTTATTGCCTCCGGGAATTTAATTCAACTCCCAATGCCCCATAACTTCCGTATTATGCGGAATGGTGGGTTCAAACATGCCCAAAGGGGCAATTACCTGTTCTCGCCTCAATTCAGTGTCAATACTGACCTGCTAATTAACACAGCTCTTGTGTAAACTCTGTGTTCGACAGGCATCAACAAACCCATTAAAGCAAAACGGTAACTATATGTACCACCTCCTTCAACATTTATAGAACTATGCATTTTGCTCATACAGTGTTTGGTCTTTGTACCTGACGCACAGTGTGATTTCTGTGTGACACGAACTAAACACTAAATCCAAAGAGCGTTTAGATAAGCTCTGGGTTCAAAAGGATAATTAACTAACGAACGTAAGAACGAGGACGCTCAACTGCTCATACGTTTAAGTTTCGTGATGGGGTAGCACAAAAGGACACGCCAAATATAATCGAAGCCAGGCCCTATCTAGAGCGATGCACATATCCCCCGTGTTTGAACTTGAAATGAAACATACTCCACTGCTGCACTGAAATGTTGAATCAGGCGATTAAAACTGTTGCCATGGCGACGGGTCATCGTTTATGTATCAGGAGTCTTCATAAAGCCATTAACTAAGATGGGCGGCCACAACAAAGGCAATGTAACGACAGATGTCCGACTAGTAGCGGTTTTGTTTGCAGTGTTTTGTTTCCTCAAGCACTGAAATTGCTTGCCCTATGCTCATCGCTTTTTGTCTCCGAAACCTCGAACAATACAAGCAACCTACACCCTGTACAAGTAATTTTCTCCACACCCTGTATGCAACCTCAGCTAGCACTTCCACTGACTAGCGCCACGGGGCCGAGTCTTTACCCGAGAAGCTGATAGTCGCTCAGTTAGTCCAGAACATCCTCGCCGTTCATGAAGCTACAGAGTTCATCATCCTGAGCCAGATTAATCCTGTACACACTGTATTCTTGAAGATCTATTTTAATATTATCATCCTATCTACGCCTAAGTCTCCCAATTGGGCTCTTTCCTTCGTGTTTTCCGGCTAAAGTTTTGCATGAATTTCTGATATCCCCAGTTCTTCTAGACGCTCCAGCCATCTCGACCCCCCTGTTTTCATCATTATCAAATTATAAAGCTCCTCTTTATGCATTTTTCTGCAACCTCCCGTTACTTCATTCCTCTTTGATCCAAATTTTCGCCTCAGCAGATTTACCATGTTCTCAAATTAGTCCCCTCACTGTGACAGACCGAGTTTCACACCCGCATACAAATATTTTAATCCTTGCGTTTTTAGACGTCAGACCGGAAGACAAAAGCACCACCCAATCGTCTGTGTTTCAATATGCATTCGCTTTACTTCGAAGCGTAAAACAGCAACGTTCAGAATAGTTACCACGGCGACTGCTTTGCCGGACACTTAGGAGGGACCACGGGTTGGTCCCGTAGCCTGTGCAGATACTGCTGTACGAATCTCCCTCTGCGTTTCGTCTGTTGGCTCAAGTTGCAGCCATGCCCAACCTCATTACGTCAGCAAAGAGTAAAAGGTGAAACTCTACGTAGATCTGGTCACAAATATTCATGTCTTAAGTCTCAAGTTCATATAAATAATGTTCCATATATCACAGAAACGCCCGGCCACAGTAGCAGCGCTACCTAAGGCATGAACAGTCTTCGTTCCCTCGGACGCTGTGATGGTGGGTTCGAATCTCAGTCAAGGCATGGATGTTTGGTGTATGTATATGCATGTATTGTGTTTGTGTTGTCTGTGTTTAGGTAGCGGCCTTACGATGGGCTGATCGCCCACCCAAGGAGTCCTACCGTCTGTGAAAAATGATTACGGGACTGAATTAGAGGCCTGACCCCTAAATGGGCTGGAAGAGCCATTGAAAAAAATATATATCACTGAAAGGGGGTTGAGCTGAAAGCTGGTTGAGGCACGATGCTGTTAGTAGGAAATTCGCGAGTTCGATTCGCGTTGAGGTTATTGGAGTTTTTAATTGACCTGAACCTTCGAGTCGCACTACGGCCCTGGGGTCGACTCAGCCTCTAACAGAAATGAGTACCAAGAATCTTCCTGGGGGTAAAGTGCTGACGGTTGCGCGTGAGGCTGACAACCTCACCGCCATCTCTGAGCCGACTGTCTAGACAATGTGGGAGTCTCGATGTCTCACAACCCTATGGGCCTCCAATTCCTATCAAAAGGATAGCTTTACCTTACATCACAGAAAGTAAACACAGCCTCCGCTGCTAAAACCTGTCGGTTCACTCATCCCAGAGACTCACTTCCCACAATTTCAGTTTATAGCACCGACAAACCAAGCGTGCATGCTCAGTGACAACGCTCTGGACTGATGTTCGGGAGGTGTTCGATTCGGATCTCCATAGGGACAAGGGATATTCTGAGACATTCAGTGGTTTCACTCAGTACCTTCGCGCAAAAGCCGGAAATGTCCTTACATCAGCCGACGGCTGT